GTGTGAAACAAAGAATTTTAAATTCAGACATAGTAAACTCACTCGCATAGTATTTTTCACGACAGTGGTAGATTTCCAGCAGCAATGGACATCTATGGTTCACACTTAGCTTCCAGTAGAGTTTTGTTTCAGGAATGTATCAGTCGCTAGAATGCGTCGGGTTCGAGTCTATAAATTTTCTATTGATCGAGTCTGGAATCGATCCAACAGATCATATTGTAAAAGAAACAGTCAATTATGATTTGATTGTGATAAGATTATCGTTAAGATTGCGTGAGAAATTAACTAAAAAATTTTGTTGAAATAAGAGATAAGGCTTAGACTGAAGTTCAAAAGTTTTGAATCCGACAAGCTCTCTCTGTCACGGTCTGTTTTTGGTGAATACTCATCTTTGAGAGCAATGTTATTGTTGCTTCTTTTTTTTTGTTTTTTTTAGTTCGTATGTTACGAGAAGAATTACAATTATTACAAGAACAAGGTTCATTAGTTGGTGAAGTTGTTAAAGCTATGGACAAGAAAAAAGTACTTGTCAAGGTAATTTACTATTCAATAAAAAGTTAAGACTAATATTGATATTGATTTAAATGTTTTCAAACCTGAAAATGATCGGTTTTTCGTAATAATGTTTTGCAATCTTAAAATTAAAATTTTGTTTGACAAAGAATTGTCTATAAATAAAAAGAAACAATATTATTTACTTATTTTAGGTACATCCAGAAGGTAAATTCGTTGTTGATCTTGACAAAAATATTGATATGGCTAAAGTAACACCAAGTTGTCGTGTTGCACTTAAAAATGATAGTTATACATTACATAAAATTTTACCAAATAAAGTAAAAATTACAAACAAAAAAACACTTGTATCTCATTTTTGATTAATTATTTTTATTATTAGGTTGATCCACTCGTTAGTTTAATGATGGTAGAAAAAGTTCCTGATTCAACATATGAAATGGTTGGTGGTCTTGATAAACAAATCAAAGAAATAAAAGAAGTTATTGAATTACCTGTTAAACATCCCGAATTATTTGATGCATTGGGTATTAGTCAACCAAAGGTTTACCTTAATTATTTAATTTTATTGACATAACCTTTTTTTTTTCTTTTTATATTTAGGGTGTATTGCTTTATGGTCCTCCAGGTACAGGTAAAACACTTTTAGCTCGAGCTGTAGCACATCATACGGAATGTACATTTATTCGTGTATCGGGTTCTGAACTTGTACAAAAATTTATTGGCGAAGGTTCACGTATGGTTCGAGAACTTTTCGTTATGGCTCGGTAAAATAGAAAATTTTTAAAAAATTTTTATTAATTAAAAATTTTAAAAAAATCTAGTGAACATGCTCCATCAATTATTTTTATGGATGAAATCGATTCAATTGGTTCAACACGTGTTGAAGGTAGTTCTGGTGGTGATAGTGAAGTACAACGAACTATGCTTGAATTACTTAATCAACTTGATGGTTTCGAACCAAAACAAAATATTAAGTAATAATTTAATAGTTTATTTTTTTGTTTTTGTTTTCGATATTACTTGACTTTTATGGAACACGACCTAAAAGTAGTGTTGAGGTATAGAAGTGACTACAAATTTCATGGTGAATTTTGATCGTAGAACAGGAAATATGTAGGTTAGTAGAGGAAGACTTGCGCTATCTAATGGTGTATGGGGAAGTATCTCGAGAGGACGGTCGGAGAAAAGAGAGTGACCCCAAAATTGGGAAATTTTCATTTTTTCTCAGCGAAACTGAGCGATTTTCTTTGCTTTTTTTGTCTACTAATCCCTTTAACAAGGGTCGATTCCCTCCTCTCATATCGTGAACCATCCCTTCTCATTCATCGCCCCCATCTTGGCGACCTTGGGACACCCCTGGCTGTATGTATAGTGAAGTTCTATTGCATACCAGTGATATGTCAAAAGGAAAGAACTTTTTATTTATTTATTTAGAGTAATCATGGCAACTAATCGAATTGATATTCTTGATCCAGCTCTTCTTCGTCCAGGACGTATTGATCGTAAAATAGAATTTCCAGCACCAAGTGAAGAAGCACGTTTAGATATTCTTAAAATTCATTCACGTAAAATGAATTTAACACGTGGAATTAATTTAAGAAAAATTGCTGAAATGATGCCAGGTGCATCAGGTGCTGAAGTTAAAGTAAATATAAATAATAACGAATATCAGCAAAAGAAAAAACATATTTTATTTTATTTTATTTTATCTATTTAATTATTTAGGGTGTTTGTACTGAAGCAGGCATGTATGCACTTCGAGAACGACGCGTACATGTAACACAAGAAGATTTCGAATTAGCTGTTGCAAAAGTAAATATTTTCATTGTTGAAATATATTTTATTAAATAAGTATTCTTTTTCTTTTTAAGGTCATGCAAAAAGATTCGGAAAAAAATGTTTCATTAAAGAAACTTTGGAAGTGATCAAAACTACATTTTTTTTTCCTCTTTTATCTTCAAATTTATTTGCTCTTGACCCATTTTTTTTTCTGTTTGTTATTATATGAAAAGAGAAACAAATAAATCAAGAGAAAAACTATACTTAAATATATATTTTATTCGAAAGATAAAAATTGAAAAAAAAAATTCATGATGAAGAATAGATTAGATTTTAGATTCAAATAATTTTTATTTTGATCCAATGAAATAGACAAAAAAAGAAAAGAAGAAATTTTCTGTTGTCATCTTTGTGATAAGATTTATTCATTTTTATTTTAGAATTATATTAATTCGACTTAATCAATAAATTTTGCAAACTTTCAATCATTCGTTTATTAGGAAACTATTTTAAATACAAATGATCTTCATGTAAATATGTTAATATTTTAAAAATAACTAACAAATGAATACAATACTCGATTCATAATCCATGAACTAAAACATTAACTTACGAGGGAACATATCCAATTGTCGGATATCATTCGATCCCAGATTTTGGCTACGAGTAGGACTCATCGGAATTATAAAAGACCTAAAAGAGTTCGGACAAACTCGTTACCCAGTCAGAGTTCTAACCGTTTTAATAGATTTTCGACTTCTGGGTCAGGTATTCATGGACGACTTAATTATAAGATTTTTATCTAAAGCTTTGCCTATAGATAGGTCACTAAGACACTAGAAGATTCTAAAAATCTCCATGCAAATAAATGTATTCTTCTTGAGATATCAAGTATCCAATAAATGCTTCTATAGCGTGTTTCATAAGTTCTAAACCTCGACAAAAATTCATTTATATACAGATAGGGAATGATTTGTAACTGAATGCATCTATATGAGATTTGAGTATTTGTATAGACATTTGAAATGACATGATATTAGATGATATCTTCTCTTATGAGAATAATAAAATAAATAGAAGAATACCATGTTCAATTTTTCAAAATTGATCAATAAGATTTTTTACTAAAAAAAAGAAAAACTCTATATTTGACTAATTCAAATAATAAACACGTAAACATGTTACTTGTAAAATTCTAATAAAAATCAATAAAAAATAAAAGAATATTCAATCAGAATGAAAAACTTCATCTGAATTATTTTGAAAAACAACCTGTTAACACAATCCTTGTAGAATTAAAATGCGAAACATTATGTAGTTACTCTTCCTAATCATGGGAACATTGCTTTATTCTATCCATTTTCAGATACATTTCTTCATCATCTATTTACTTAATCCTCCAGAAATTCAATAAGGAAGTAATTCGTATATTAAAACGAGATGTTATTTATATATAGTCTGTGATAGCCTATTGACAACGTTTATCATCACCTATGGTGTCCTCCAGCTAGTGTCTATCATGGTTTGTGGAGGAGAGAGTGAATCCAAATCTTTACTCTATAAATCTCAACATTCCTTTTAGATCGTGTTCCAAAAAATAAGAGAAAGATATATTCATAATATACTCAGTACCTCAATAGATGATTAAAGTAGAATATTGTATTGATGTATGTATTTGCCGACAATATAGGAGAAAAACTGATGATTAACTTTATATTTTAGAATAAAAAATTTTTTAGAGCAATGAAATTGAGAACAACGTTTCAATCTTAAGTAGAAAGTTAATGATAATACCTTTTTGTTTAGCAATACTTTTGTATTTTTTCTATTTTCTTCAATAGTCAATCACGCATACACGACTAAGTCTGGGATACATCTAACGGATGGTCGATGAAGAAAAGGACATTTTGATTATTTTTTTTTATTTTTGAAGACAGTAAACATAGTTTAAAGACCTCATTCTAAGCACAATCGACTGAGAATTTTGTACTCTAGACAACTATCGACAAAGCAATTGTCAGACATCCACCTGCATTTGTCAGAAAACAAAATAATTATGCAAAATAATTTTAACAACAGTTCCGTTGAAATTCAAATTTTGAAATTCTTCGTAAAAACATTTGAAAGAATAGTTTTTCGAGCAAAAATTGAAAAAAAAACAACCTAAAAGATTCTTATCTGGGATAGGTATGTCATTGTTTATTTTTAATACGGTTGAAAACATCAGTGTCGAAAGCACATTCAAAATAGATCTTGAAAAGAGCTTGGAAGCATCGAGTAAAAAATTGTCTATCTGTTGAAGCTGAATAGTTTATATGTTGCATTAAACTTGATGCATAAAGTCTTATACCAAACGATAGATCTCCGAATAAGACAATACGAGATCGAAACTGAGTAGTTGAATACAGATCAGTCTTTTTGATTTTTTTGTCGATAAGAAAAAACCTATTCGAAAAATAAAGTCGATAGTTTTGTAGAGCGAAAAATTGTCTATCAAATGAGTTTAGAACGATAGATTTGAATAGTGTTGCTATTCTTCAAAAGAAAAAAAGGAAAGAAAATCAACATGTCTCATTCTTTATGACCTACTGATTATCTCTACAAAAACGATAAAAACAAGATGAATTCTTCTTATTTTGAATATTTGCTAAAGTTTTCTTCTGCCATAGATCTACTAAGAAATTGTTCATATTTTAGATATAAGCATGGAATTACGTTTGTCACTTATTCGTTCACCTCTTTATCCAGATACAATTAATGTTGATGAAGATTTACAAGATTACTTCAGTGAACCACGACGAGTTAAATTAAATGATCAGATTATTATTCACCCATTATTACAACCAGGTACAAGAAAAAATGAAAATAATGATTATATTTATTTCATTTTTATTTTAGAATTAGAAGTACATTTTCTTATTTCATCATTAACAAAAGATGATGTTCTTGTGTCATGTGATAATTGTCGAATTATTGTTGATACGAAAAAGGTTCGTCAAGAAAAATTAACTTCAACGTAAGAAAATAATAATGTGTAATTTTAATATTAACAACTATAAAAATTTAATTCGTGTGTTTTTTTTTGTTATAGTTGTTCCACTACGGATGAAACAATTGTATTTATTAGTCAACGTTTATGTCAAATGTTAACAACATTTGATATTCAATGGTCAAAACAAACATCAATACCAACAATTCTTTTACATGGAATTGATGATTTTAGTTCACTTGTTAATCATGCTTGTCGCCAATGTGGATATCATTGTCATACAGTGAATATCAATCATTTTAAAATCCTATTATCTATTGTATGAATAGTTTAGGTGTCAAGTCAATTACTTGCTGGTGATTCTGCAGCAGCAACAATGAAACGCATTGAACAATCGATACAACTTGCAGCAAAATGTACTCCATGTGTATTGTTTTTCAATCATGTAACGTTATTTAAATGAAAAGTTATTTTGAAAAAAAAACAGTCGATGATGATTTTTAGGTGAATTTCTTATGTAAATTAACTGATGTTGAAAATGATGATGCTATTGTAACGAATGGTCTTCGAAGATTCATTCAAAATATTAGATCAACATTAATTAATAATGGTCCTTTAATTATTTTAGCAGGTGTTTCACGTCTTCATTTACTTAGTGAACAAGTTTTAAGTCTATTTAGTTATACATTATCTATACCAGTAAGAATTTTAGTATTAGTATATGGTAGTAAAATTTAATGTATTTTAAAGACTATTCCGATGGAAATACGTAAAGAATGGCTTCGTAATCGACTTTCGAATATTTTAGTAGCAGATGATTTTAATTATGATCTTGTTTTAGCTCAAACGAAAGGTTAGATGAAACTAAAAACAATAAAATTTTATTAAAATTAATATATCATTTAGGTTGGCCAATAGCTGAAATTGATCAATTGATTCGATTAACTATTGAAGCTGCTTATTGGCGATCACTTGAGTAGAATTTAAAATAGTTAAAATTTTGATCTATACATATTTTTTTATTTTATTTTTCAATGATTAGATCATCTGATATGTTAGTTATGTTAACAAATGTAGATTTTGAAATAGCATTAAAAAAGAGTCATACATCAAAATTAACTAGTCAACGTAAAGCAATGATACCAAATGTATATTGGAGTGATATTGGTGGATTAGCTATAGCTAAAAAAGAAATTTTAAATACAATTCAATTACCATTAATTCATCCCGATTTATTTGGTGATTTAGCAAGGTAAGAATTTTATTTCAATAAATATACATTACTATCAAAATTGATATTTTAATTTTGTTCAAATGTCATTAGAGTTTAACTTGAAAATGAATTAATCAAATCGAAGACAATTAATCGAAAGAAGAAGTTTTTTTTCTATTTCATAAAGTATCGATTATATCAAACATTTGTATTGTTGAATTGAATTATGTAAAATTTCTGTTCATAGATTGACAAGCAGACGCACACATGATCGTAAAGAAAAATATTCTACAAAACATTGTTCATGCAAAAAAGAACAAGAGCTTTTCATTCGACTTTGTGTCATTCTGAACTAAGATCGTATAAATATAGGAAACAATAAATTAAAATAATATAAATTGAAATATTTTCGATAGAAACAATCATTTATAAAATGAAGAACAAAACTTCTTTTTGTTCAGATTAATTGTCTTCGATTTGATCAAAAAGACTTCTAATTCAATTTTAATTTTATCCGACCTATAGATATGCGAAATCAGAGTCACGAGAATGAAGTTGTCCTAATCGAAACTAAAGATTATAGTTATATATTCTATGATTTTAAGCGAATTATTTTATAAATCATATCAATCAGAACATAATTCAAGAGAGATAACCCGAAAACATGCTAGTCATCGACTAAATAAATCAACAAACGAGTATTGAAGAATTTATTTTGATATGTGACATAAATAAATTCTCGAATAGTTTTCTCTAGGCAAAGATCAAAGAAACTCGTTCCCGCACCTCTCTAGTTCAGACGAATTCAAACTTTAACTGTAACATATATAAAAGTATTTTTATTTTATATTAGAACTGGAATTCTCCTCTATGGACCGCCTGGTTCTGGTATGAAAAATTTTTTTTTTCTTGAAAATAAAAAACGAATGTTTTATTTGTAGGAAAAACTTTATTAGCAAAAGCAGTAGCAACAGAATTTTCTTTAAATTTTTTATCAGTTCGTGGACCTGAATTATTGAATATGTATGTTGGTCAAAGTGAACAAAATGTTCGCGATTTATTTGAACGAGCACGTCTTGCATCACCATGTATTTTATTTTTTGATGAACTTGATTCTCTTGCACCACGTCGTGGTCGAACATCATCGGATTCATCAGGTGTTAGTGATCGACTTGTATCACAATTATTAACAGAAATCGATCAACAACAACAAGAACATCATATATTTATTATTGGTGCAACAAATCGACCAGATCTTTTAGATGATTCTCTTTTAAGACCAGGTCGATTTGATAAACTTATTTATATTGGTATAAGTAATGAACATGATGATCGACGACAAATGTTTCAAGCATTAACACATAAGTAAAAGATAATAAGGAAAATAAAATAAAATACAAAAAATATCAAATTTTCTTATTAGATTTAAAATTATTGATGAACAATTTGATGCAGATGCTTTTGTACGTTCATGTCCACTCAACATGACTGGTGCCGATTTTTATGCGTTAGCAAGTGATGCTTATCTTCGTGCAATTCGACGACTTATCACAAATAATCAAGAAAAAGAAGACGAATATGATCAAACAGTGAATTTAATTAAAAGTGATTTTTATGATGCACTCGCTAATTTTACACCATCACTTGATGAACATGAAATTAGGCAATATGAACGATTACAAAAGTCTTGATTTGTTTTTGATTTAAATCGATTAAAATTATAAAACAATAAAAATGATTTAAAAACACACCAAAAGATAATAAAATATTAAAATATATACAATTATTGTATTTGTTTGTTATTATTTTTCTTATTGTATTGTCTAACATAATGAAGATTGATAGTATTCACTTAGTCTAAAGTAATAATAGGAAACAATCGAAAATCTGATTTCTGTTTGGTAATTTTTATAAATTCTAAAGTGATGATGAATCATCTTTTACGAGACAAAAATGAAAACAATGATGTTATGACAAATATCTCAATAGACGTTCATATCTTTTTATCCAATACAACTTTCTATGAAATCAATATTATGATAAGACAATTGG